CCATTTTGGTCCAACAGAGAGTTGCAAAAGCTCTCGATGATCCTGCTACCTTTTTTGATGAGTTAAAAGCTAAACCTGTTGAAATTGAAGAAATGAATGAAATTGCTTATAGTTCTATAATCTTGCATTTATCTGATAATGTTGTTAGACAAGTTGATAGTGTTAAAGATGCTAGAACTTTGTGGACTACTTTAGATGCCTTATTCTTGACTAAAACTTTTCCTAACAAGATATACTTGTTAGAGAAGCTGTTTAGTTTTAAGATGGACCCGAGGAAGAATGTAGAAGGGAACTTGAGTGATTATAGCATAATTGTTAAGAGTCTGGCTCATAACGATAATAAGTTTGAGGATGAAGATTTAGCTGTAATACTGTTAAATTCATTGCCTGAATCTTATAAAGAAATAAAAATGCCATAAAATATAGTAGGGACACTCTTTCACGGGCTATTGTGGTAGATGTGTTAAAATCAAGAGAACTTGAATTAAAGAGAGACAACAGAACTAATATCATAGAAGAAAGCCTATTTGTTAGGGGAAGACATGAAAAGAGAGAATTTAACTTCCAGAACAAAAAGGGAAGGGGAAAATCTAAAATGAGATTCAAATCTAAAGACAGAAGTGGTAAGAAATGTTATAACTGTGGAAAGTTAGGATATTTCAAGAAAGACTGCTTTGATTAGAAAAAGAAACAAAAAGACTTGAACAACACTGATCTAAGTAATGCTGCCGTTGTTTTTGAATTTGATAGTTTACACGTCCTGAATATGTCTGAGGGACAATTTGACAAAAATTGGATCCTAGACACATGGTGCACCTTTCATATGTGCCATGAAAGGTCTTGGTTCTATAACTATAAAGAGATTGAACATAGGAAGGTCTATATTGGAGATAATAATTCTCAGAATGTGATTGGGGTTGGTGACATAGCCATCAGGATGTACGATGGGGCTGTCAGGAAACTTAGAGATGTAAGATATGCCCTTAATTTGAAGAGGAATTCCTTAGGTACTCTTGAAGATGAGAGATATACCTTTAAATATGGAAATAACGTTTTGAAAATTTTTATTTTTGAAAATTTTTAAAGGTTCTCTGATAGTTATGAAAGGATCCAAGAGGAATGGGATGTACTATCTTGAGGGTAGAATTGAAACAACACCTAATCGAGTATTCTTACAGTTAGTAAAGACAAAATTGAACTTTGGCATAACAGAATGAGTTACATTGGGTTTAAAGGGCTAAAATCTTTAAGTAATCAGAAATTACTTGGAAAATTTGACATTGAAGCTATGGACTTCTGTGAAACTTGTGTTTTGGGTAAGTTCCATAAGGTGAGCTTTGAAGCTATCTCTCATAGAGCTAGCATACCATGGGACTATGTCCATGCTGATTTATGGGGTCCTGAGAAGCATTCCACATTTGGTGGAAGTAAGCACTTCTTGTCCTTAGTGGATAATTACTCAAGAAAGGTTTGGATTTATCATTTGAAGACTAAGTCTGAACTTTTGGAAAATTCAGAATTTGGCTTAAGTCTGTTGAGAATCAGTTAGACAAGAAACTTAAAACATTGAGAACTAATAATGGGATTGAATTCTGTAATTTTGAATTTGACAACTTTTGTAAACAAAAAGGGATAACAAGACAAAGGACAGCTAAGTACACACCTAAACAGAATGGGGTCACTGAGAGAATGAACATGATCATAATGAACAAGGTTAGGTGCATGTTGATTAGCTCTGGCCTTGCCAAAGGTTTTTGGGCTGAAGCTGCTAGTACTACAGCTTATAAGATTAATAGGTCACTGTTAAGCAGTATAGGGTTTGAGACTCCATAGGAGTTGTGGACATAGGAGCTTCCAAATCTAAGTCACTTGAGGGTGTTTGGATGTGCTGTATGTGCACATCAGTCTGAAGGGAAACTTGAGCCTAGGGCTGTCAAGTGTGTGATGTTAAGGTATCCCGAGGGTGTGACAGGTTATAGGTTATGGGTTTTAGGGGTTCAGGGCATTAAGATTATTAACAGAAGGAATGTAGTCTTTAATGAATCTGAGATGCCATGTCTAAAATAGAAAACTGATGAAGCTAACAAATCTGAAACTGAGAAGAGTGTTCAGACTGAGGTGAAGCTAACCAAGCTTGATTAACCTACACCTGGGAATGACGATAATGATCATACACATCATGAACCCGAAACTGAACCTGAAGAGGTAACTGAACTTCAAGATAACATTGAACCAGTTGAAGTTGAACATTTTAATGATCAGCCACCTAATCAAGATTATCAGCTTACTAGGGATAGGGCAAGAAGGCAGATCAGGCCTAATCCTAGGTATGATTCCCTAAGCTTGACTGATAGAACCTGCCACTTATGAAGAAGCTATTAATGTAAAATATTTTGAAAATTGGATAAAAGCCATGCAGGAAGAAATGAAATCTTTGAGTGATAACAAAACCTGGAAATTTGTTAAGAAACCTAAAGATCAGAAATTGGTTCCATGTAAATGGATTTACAAGTTAAAAGATGGTTTGAGCCCTAATAATCCTATGAGGTTTAAGGCGAGGTTAGTGGCTAAAGGTTATACTCAAAGAGAGGGTGTGGACTATAATGAAATATTTTTACTCGTGATTAAGTACAAGACAATCAGATTGATGTTGGCTCTTGTTGTTCAATTCAATTGGGAACTTGAACAACTCGATGTAAAAACTATATTTTTACATGGGGAGTTGGAAGAGGATATTTTCATGAGCCAACCACAAGGCTTTGTAGCTAAAGGCAAATCTGATTATGTTTGCAAGTTAGAGAAATCATTGTGCGGGCTGAAACAAAGCCCCAGACAATGGTACAAGAGGTTTGATGCCTATGTGCTAAAGATAGGGTTTAAAAGAAGTGAATTTGATGCTTGCTTGTATTTTAATGACATAAAGAGCCATTGTGAAGTCTACTTACTGCTTTATGTTGATGATATGCTGTTAGCAGGACCTAGCAAGTCTCAAATTAATAAACGAAAAATGCTACTTGTACATCACACATTGTACATAAGGGGATACATCACTCTCACATGGGGTGTGGGGTCCATTGCATAAATTATTTTTTAATCTAAGCGGGTCCCATCCCCATGTGAGGGGGGTGTACACCTCGATGTACAATGTGATGTACAAGTAGCAAGACCGTTAATAAACTGAAGGATCTTTTAAAATCTGAATTTGACTTGAAGGATTCAGGGAATGCTAGAAAGATTCTTGGAATGCTTATAACTAGAAATATAGCTGAAAATAGGTTAACTATTTCACAAGAAGCATACTTGAATAAAGTGGTAACAAAATTTGGAATGAAAAATAGTAAAATTGTGAATGTGCCTCTTGCTAGTCATATGAATCTTTTACATGCTCATCGCCTAAATCTGAGTCTGAATTGAAAGAGATGGAAAATGTATCTTATACAAATGCCATAGGTTCTGTCATGTTTTCTATGATTATTACCAAACCTGATATTGCATTTTTCATTAGCCTCCTAAGTAGATTTATGTCCAATCCTGACAAGCCACACTGGGCTAGAATGAAATGGTTGTTGAGGTATTTGATTGGGACGTTAAATCTAGGCTCAGTATATGAGAAAAGAACTGAAAAGTTAACTCTTAAAGGCTATGTTGATGCTGACTTTGTTAGTGATAAAGACAGTAGGAAATCAAACACAATATACTTCTTTACCCTAGGTGATAACTGCATAACATAGAAATCACAGCTACAGCCTTTAGTGACTTTGTCTAGTACTGAAGCGGAATATGTTGTCATAACTGAGGCGGTTAAGGAATGTATTTGGTTAAAAGGAATCTTAAAAGAATTGAACTTCATGCATGATACACCTATTATGTTTACTGATAGTCAAAGTGTATTGTTACTTAGTAAAAATCTTGTTTATCATGAAAGATCAAAACATATTAAGGTGAAGTATCATTTTATTCTAGAAAAGCTGTCTCAAGGTGAAGCTGAATTTATTAAGATTCATACTGACAAGAATCCCTCTGATATGTGGACAAAAATTACGCCTTTAGGAAAATTTAAATTATGCTTATCTTTGTTACACACTGACACTGGTTAATTTTTCTTGCAAGTAGTGGGCGATGATGATGAACATCCTTCCATGTGCAAATCCGCAACCGAGAAAGTGTATGTATTATGAGAACCAAGGTAAAGAATGTGAGAATCGTGGTTCTCCTAGCTCTGTATGGACTAGTACTATTTGTGTCATTTGGATTGTTTGCATTATTTTTGGCCCTTGCTGCTTAGGTGTCGTTTGCCTATTAGTAGCTTGGTTGTTACATGGATTGTGCTAGTTTGGTTTTATTAGGACCGTTGGATGAGATGGACGTTTGAGATCTATTCTTGGTTGAGATATTTCCTTGGTTTTAACTCTTGGTCTTCATTAGTTTTTTTCTCTTGTTCTCTCGCCTCTGCTCTCTGTTGTCTGGGTCTCTCTTTTGTGTGTAGAGTTTGTCTTCTCCTTTCTCTTGGATGATTTCCGGGGGTTTGTTTCTAGGGATTTATGGGGTTAACCTTGGGTATGATCAGGCCTGAAATAGTGGTTGATTCGGTGCTGGTTTCCTTCCTAAATCTGTGACTAAAACTCTATTAAAACTTGGGAGATCGTTCTCGATCGATGACCAGAAATTGAACCCATGGTTTCTCTGATGACATCTCTCTCTGGATGGCGATTTGCGTGGCATGGATGGGGCTGTTCCTGAGCATGATGATTCTGCCATAAAGGGAAGAAGCTTTTTGGTCCTTTTATAATAAAACTGTAGTTCTATGATTTCTTAATGTTTTCGGTTTCTTTATGCTTATATTCTGAACATTATAAATGTTACTATTGCTGTGATTTATGCTGTTGAACTCTGTAAATTCCTAACAATTCACATTCATGTTCCATGTTCTTTTTCGATTGTTATGGTGTTAATTCTCCACCCTTTCATCTTATATGAAGAATTGATTTCAATATTTGTATTTAACTTGTCCAAACCCCGAAGGTTTTCTGTCTTTCTGATTTGATTATTTGAAAGCCGAGCTGAATGAAGAACAAAAGAGTAGTTCTTTTTATTAGCCTTAATTTTTCATCATTTGGCCGGTGAGAAAACTAACACATGATTGCTGAATTTCCAGTTATTAGTATACTCAATTTGTTCTCTAATCTTCATCTTTTTAAAGCTTTTCTAAATGATCTTCTGGTTAAAAAAAAATGAAATTAGCTACTAGCTTTTTAAAATGGTCTCCTGGTCAAATACTTACTACTATCATCTTTCTAATTCTCAATGCACACTTCCATTTCTTTTGAGCTTTTTTATCCCTAATAAACATAGTATGCTGGCAACAGGCTCCTTCCTCCA